TCTAACCTCACTTTAGCAGATCAAAGACCGAATCTGCGTGATATTGCAAGGAGATGATCTTCTTTCCTTGCCCTGATCTCCATCAGATGCAGCAGTTAAAAAAAAGAGTGTCTTTGCTTGAATCGGTTTGAGTTGGCTCTCCAGCTCCCTTCCCACCCACCTACTCACCCTCCTCTGACGACAATATTCAGTTCCTGGCTGTGATCCCCAGAAGCCATCTGGCCAAATTTAATTCCTAGTGCTTGAACCGTACCTGCAAGGTGTCTGGGGGAGAAGCCCAGTGTTGTTAAATAAATTGGGGGTGGGTGGAATTCTCATTAATATCCATTGTTACTATCTAACGTCAATTAGCATGTTAATACTGCTAAGTCCAGTAGATAGGGAGAGAGGACTGTATGGGTTTTATCTTCAGTATGCTATTTCTGTCTGGAGATGCTAGGATGTTTATTCCTCTTATCTTCCTTACTTCTCAGATATTTTCCTGGGAAATATTAGTCATTACTTCAATCCATCCTCAGCTTGGCAGGCTTAAGTTTTTCACTGCTGGATTCAGAGGCTTGTGTGTTTATAACCCTTCTGTGTTGAACTGGGATGCAGTGCTTCTTGATTGCCCATGCTGTTATCTCGTCCTGCTTAATGCCTGTGTCTGTTGATAGGTGTGTGAGGTGTTAATCCTCTAGTTTGAACATGTCTGCTGTGGTGCACACTAGGGAAGACTACTCCAGATCATTGTTTCAAGGTCATAAAAATCCAGTGCAGCATATTCAGAAGCTTTGGCTAGCTTTGTGGTGCTAGTTTTACATTTGTTTTAGCATTTCCATTGTAGATTATTTTCCATGTAGGTGCTCTTATTCTGGCGCATACATCAGCCTTGTGCTCTTCGACTGACGGGCTGCCAAGCTGTTTAAAATCCACATGCCAAGTGCTTTCTTTTTCTTTCTCCTCTGCCCCTCGCTGGAATGAATTCATCACTGGCATGGAGTGAGATGGCTCATTTAAGCACCTACATCAACAATATTCAAGCATTTCCTTGTGTTCAGTGCAGCATAAAGGTCATGGTCAACAGAGGCAAGAGTCTAGGACAGCATGTGCAAATGACCACTGGAAAGGTAGGGGAATGCAGTGACCCAACACCAAATTTCATGCTGAAAAAGATCTATCTGGGAGTTTCATTAGATGAGTTACTGTCTTAGGAAGTCCTGGCTTTTCTCATCCCACTTTTCTGGGCTGAGCACCAGGCGCTCAGCTGTGCTGGTACAGCTGTATGTGAGATCACACTCAAGTGTGACATGGCGTAGATTAAAAGCACCCCTCCCAAATAAACTTTTCCTAACCCAGATAATGTTAGTGAGTTCTTCTGCAGCCTATCCCACAAACAGATGTCCTGGCACAGCTAAGAGACTGGCATGCAGCAACTTTTAAAGCCAGAACTGGCATATTATTGAATTATATCCTACAAAGGCCAGACATTTGTGTGAGTCAACCACAACACTAACACAACTTGACTGCTGTTCTTGTGCAAACATGCTTGTTCAGAGCTAGTCTGAACATCTTTGTACAGCGCTACATTGTACCACAGATTTGCATTCTCCAGCTTTAATATTAAGGGACCTTAGATAGGGGGTTAATCATACAGTGTTAACATAGTACCTTGGGCGATGGTTAATATATGTTATTACCAGGTAACACCAAGAACCTCCTCAAGGTTCATTGCTAAGGTTGTAGTGTTAAGCATTTTAATGTTAAGAAATGATAGGACACAAATTACACATGCTGCTCTTCTTTTACCTGTATGTGCATGTGTCCTGTCAGGGAGTTCTGAATACGTGGTTGCATGCTGTTTCTTTTTTAGGCTTGGGAGAAGGGAGTGAGGTGCTTTTTGGTTTTAGGAAAACCGAAAAAAGCCGTATCTACTTTATAATGTCTTACTGATGCCAACATGAGCGACCAGCAGGAAAGGAACTTTAGATCTGGCTAACAAACTCCGTTAGCCAAGCTCATGGGGTCACTGTTGATGGTGCGTGGCAAGTCAGGAAAACTGAGTATTCCTGGTAAAATGTGCAGTCCTCCTTATCCCAAGCCAAATGATGCCCTTCCTCAAAGGTTTTCATCCCAGTCCCATTCCATGTGTCCAGCAAACCCTTATCTCAGTCATCTGACATCTGCTTTATGCTACCCCATTTTCTTGCTAATCAGTGCTAGTCTCCCCACTCTTTTTTCAGGGTGTCTAGCAGACTTGTACCCTGCTCTCAATTCGTGTGGGCTCAGCCGCTCAGAGCTTCAGTGCCCAGGATGATCCTGCTCTGGCCCACACTGAAGCATGCCCAGTGCACAGAGAAGTCTTCAAGTGCCAGGATCGAAATCTAAGTGTCTGAAAACTGAGAGTTTTCCTCCCCACCTCCCAAGGACGGATTTGAGTGGGTTTTCATGGGAATTGCAAAAAGGGGTTACAAGGACATAAAGTTCAGCCCTTGCTCTGAACACGAGCTTGTTTCAAGGAAAACATTGCTACTTATGGGCATTCTTTTTCGCTAGATTTGATTTTAGAAATGGTTGAAATATTTTGACTGAAACTTTGCAAGAATTTTCAGTTTCTATCAAGCAGCCAACATCAAAACTTCTAGCTGAAATAATTAAAGCTTGGCAAAGTTACAAGCAGTTGACATCTGAATCCTAAGAGGAATCATAGATGAAGAACAAGGAATGCTTCTAGCCTTATCTGTAGTATCAGAATAAACATTGCAAATACCCTGGTATCAGGAGGTAGGAATGGTCAGTCTGAATTTTTAGATCCTGCACTTGAGCCTTTAGATGGTACAAGCAAGAAATGAAAAGGTGGTGCCTTTGGTGGGAGTATGGCAGTTTATAAAACGTGAGAACTCTGGAATTGATAATATTGTCAGATGAGAGAAGAGCCTTTGATCACATGTGTTTTTAAAGATGTCCTCTCTGTCTGATGGGCGCTGTGTTGGCTACAAAGATTGTGCCTTGTGAAGGTATTCCTGGAAAAGATCAGTGCACGTAGGTTTTTATCCCGCTTCCCAAGTTTGTGCGTTTGAAGATATTTTTATGCAATTAAAGATGGAATAATAATCCACATGTAATTTCTTAAGTATAAAAACTTCTCACACTCATAACGTGACATGTTTATAAATCTCAGCATTTTGGTTATGGCTGCTTATTTGTTTAATTTTTGGGTTGCTTCCCAGGATCACTTATGAGCCAATAATTATTTGTCAGCTTTTTTTTTTTTTTTTAATTGAAGCCACGGGCCATATCATACCATTGATTTCTGAACAGAAGTCCCTGCTGGAATCAGCAAGGCTTTCTGGCTCAAAAATGAACAGAAATGATCCAATACTTGGATTATGACTTTTGTAAGGCAGGAGGAAAAAGGAGATAAAAATCTAGTATTAAATAGCTAAAAGTAGTTCTTTTGATTTTTTCCCCTCCCTGACATTTAGCAACCCAACTGTGTTGATTTTCGAGTGCATGCATGTTTAAAATAACAAATTCAACAACAACAACTCAGTGTTCTCTTCTCTGGGCATCTTGCCTCGTAACCTGCAGCCCAGAGCAAATTTTTATGATGACCTGATAATCTATTGCAAACAAAGATTTACAACAGATGCTTGAAACCCCCCGACTGCAGCCTGACAAGCGCAGTAACAGATCTAAATTACTTCCATGCCACTGCTGCATATTTTTGATGCTGCTGCAGATGGGTGACAGGGGAAGATGACAGCCCACCAGAGGTGCATTGTTAGTGTTTAACATAGTGCCAGACTTGGAGAATAAGCACAGAGCAGCGTGTTTCAGAAGATGTATGTTTGAAAGCACTACTCCCGTGGCTGTGGTTGGCTCCCTGCGTGGCTCCCAAGCCAGCTTGCAGCCTCTCTGTGCCTCAGTTTCATTCTCTGTGAAGCAGAAGGAATTGTTTCCCCCTGGGGGCAACCCAGGGGACTGATGCTGCTGACTGCAGAGCTGAGTGAAGCATGGCACAGTGGGGTTTGTCAGCGGTAGCTGGCTCAGATTTGGGGCCAGGGCTGTTCGCCAGGGTCATAGCCTATTCCTTTCTTCACCCTTCATTACATGTGACATGGAGGCCAAGTCCAGTGTTGCCTTTGCCAGCAGTTTTACCAAAGCTGCTGAGCATCCCACCACTCCATGGGTGACACCAGCGGGGATGAGCCACTTGCAGGCAGCTTCTATCTGTGCCATCCCGCCTGCAAGGCCCTTCACTTTGGGCCATGGGGTGAGAGGATGGAGGGAGCCGCCGGGGGACAGTGCATCATGGTGCTGTGCTGTGGCAAGGAAATAGCTGTACCTAGACAGGGGTGTTTAGGGCAGCTTTCCAGACATGGTCCTGGAGTTGCTAGATTTTGCTGGAGTGGTGGAGTGGGCTCAAGACAGCAGCGGTGGCCTGGGAGCAATCCCGAGAGGAGCAGGCAGCATCTTCTCAAGTCAGCCTTGGCAGGGAGGGCCCTGGCAGCCTGCTCCCCCAGCCCTCGGCTTAGGGCTCACCTAGCAGCACTGCTTAAAACAAGGCACAGGGGAGCAAGCTCTGACACCCTGTCTCCTGGAAGGTCTTCACCTTCAGTCCTGGGCTGAAATAATTCTTTTTCTCATGCATTTGGTCTGCTGGGACTACCATATTTTTACTTCTTCATTACACTGCACAGGAAGCTCAAGCCCCAACCTGTTTGGGGCTGTACAGGCATGAAGCAAAAGGCAGAGGAAACAGATAGCGTCATGGTCTGGTCTATAAATTGCATTGAGATGAATTCTTGCTCTTTAGCCCACTGTGTGATCATCAGCGTTAATTCTAGTCACCACCATCTCCTTCACTTTCTGTCCTGACCCAGCTTAGCCGGTTAGGCTACAGCTCTGTTTAGAAAGGGCATCAGTTCTTACAGCATGTTTGGACAGGGCCAAACTCAGTGAGGCCCCAATCTCAGCTAGTCACTATGGTTATATGAACACTAACTCAGAAAATATCTGCAGGAACAGTCCCAAGCATCGCAGAGGCAGGAGCATAATGGAGTGAGGACAATCAGCACCAGCCGTTGTGTTGCTTGAAAGGCTGAAGCTGTGCAGTGTGGGCCGAGGGCGCGCGGTGGTTTTGCGGCATGGCAAATGAATGCTTGCGCCTGGTGTGGTGCTGGCTGGGTTGGCTCGGGTGCCTGTGCGCACACGTTAGGTATGTGGGGTGGAATTTGGAGGGTAAATATTGATGCGGCATTGTCTGAAAACAGCCCGCTGTTTTGAATCCTGCTCGCAAGCACAGACAGCTCCCATCTAAGCTGCATCCTAATCCCCCAGGCAGCTTTGTTTGGCATTTCTATTGTGGGGCTGTCTCCAGAAATGTAAACTTGCTATTAATCACCTTTTTTCTTTTAAAATTAGGTGAAAAACCTGACAACAAATGGAAGACTGGGGCCTTGGTCCTCATGGCAACTGTGTGAGCATTCGGATGGGGACAGCATAGGCTCCTGTATGTGTAGGTCACGTTCATGTGACAGCCCTCGTCCTCGCTGCGGAGGTCGTGGCTGTGAAGGGGCCAGGATCGAGGTCGCAAATTGCTCAAGGTACCTCAGCATCTTTGTGCTTTTTAGGACAGGAACAAGAGTTGCGCCTGTCCACAGCATAGATCCTTCCTTGTGTTTCTATGATCATGTTGTTGTATCCCAGCCAAACTGGGGGATGTGAGGTCCAGCTTGAAGTCAGTGAAAAATGAAGGAGCCCAAGGGCTCTGAGAGAAGGGCCTTCAGCCAGGGCTCTTGGAATATGAGCACCCCAAATTAGCGTACACGTTAACCTTCCCTACGCCGTGCCTCAGTTTCCTTCAACTGTACAGTCAGTAGTGACCCATCAAGAGGAGGTAAGGCAGAGGTAGTTGTTGGCCAGCTGAACAGCAACAAGCTAAAAAAACCCAGTAAGCTCATAATTTTTCAGAGTTTGGATTCCAAGGTTGCATTGCCAAAAGCAAGCAGAGCTCCTTTGGAGCAACGCTTGTAAAGACAGGGCCTAGCCTAGCTCCGAGCAAGGCTTGTTTACCTTATTCTGCGAGTCTGTGAACTGTCTGCAGCACGCTGGCTAGGTGAAAGCAGCAGATCGTCATCTGGCAGGGAGCAGCGCTTAGGAAGCATGCCTGCCGGGGACAGCACTTAAACAGCACATGTAGCTCAGCTTGTGTCGAAGTGCTGCCTTTCCAGGGAAGCCTGAAGCTTGTGCTTGAGCAGTATGGAAGCTAAATGTCCTCTAGTCGGGTGCCCAAACATAGCCTGTTGTTTTTGTCCATGTTACCTCACCACCCTCAGACTACATCATGTCATGACTCAAGGAAAGAAGATGCAATAGTGTAAGCACTGCTTAACCAGGGTGGGGCCAGCCAATATTCTGGTAAATATTGGGTCAATATAGTTTTAATCTACTTGATCTTCTTCATAAACACTCATTCCATTAAGGACATCTGTCTCTTGACTCATCCCTGGAGATCAGTGCTGGTCTTGGCACCAAAAATTCAGCAATACTGCTGTTTTAATTGTCGTTTCTCCTTCCAGTTGTGGGCTGTGCTGCCCAAAAGTCATGCAGTCACTCCTGCCCCTGTGCTGCCACTGTGGGCTGAGCGAAGTCTTCCCCAGGCAGGCTTTTTATGTCAGTGGCAAATGGAAAGCATGCCAGCGAGATGGGTTTCTCAGCAGTGCTCTGATGGCAAAAGAGGCAGGAACAGCTTCTAAGAAGGGGATGAAAAATAGATTATTCAATCTTAAGACATAGGAAAACAGCATGGTTTGAAAAATAGGGACATCTGGTCATCCTACATCCGCCTCAGCCCTCAAATTTCCTTTAATTGACTTCATATGGCATTGAGATTTCTTTTTGCAAAGAGGGAGCAGGATGCTTAAAGATGGGTTCTATTAGAAAGCTGGAGATCTGAAAATTGAAGGTGTCTTTATTTCTGTTAAAAATCCTGAAACAGATAGATGCTGAGAATTGTTGGCTTTTTGAGAAATTTACTTTGCCTTTTTTTTTTTTTTAACAGCAACCTTCCATTTGACTTTTTCTTTTGTGATTTTACATATAATTTCTTTTGGGTTAGGAGTGGGGAGATAGTAGGTGGGTTAAAACATGGCAGAAGAAGATGGAATAGTAGGATTTTTATATAAGTGAGTTTCTTGTTCTTTGACCTTGTTTGGGGTGGGAGAGGGGAAGGGAAGGAGGGAGAGGCATGAGAGAACAAGGGGAGGAGGGGAGAAACTTCTAACAGGGTTCTGAAATAAAGCTGCCAAGAACAGGCAAGACTTGATAACAAATACAAAAGTGTGAAGGGCAATGTGGGCTTTAACTTTCATCCTCTACCCTGATTGGTGCTATGCCAGAAAATATTTCTTGCCAGCAGTGTTACTAGTTCACTAAGTGCTTTGAAAATTAACATCTGTTTTCAAGCTTAGCTTTCAAGAACCAGAGAGCACCTGAGTTGTTTTTCAACTACACTTTTTAGAAAGGTTTTTCTTTATTAAAAAAAAAACCAAACCAAACCAAAACAAAAAAAACTAAAACAAATGAGTTTTTTTGGCTTAAGGCAGTGAAGTGTCAAGATTAGGTAGTTCTGTAAGACAGAGCATTGCCACTGGCTCCATATGAAATGAAACCTGCAGTACAGAAGAGATGAGATACAGTTCCCTTTCTCCTGCTCCAAGGTTCAGTAGTGCTGCCAAATCAGAGGAAGGAGAGCTTTAATAAATGGAAGATTTTAAAGGTGAAAATGTTGGCTTCTGTGTAAGCATGCAGTTGAGTCACTGCATGGCAGCAGCATCACAGGAGCCGGCTGCCTGCACGTGCTCAGCCTGACGTGGGAGCGAGGCACAGAGCATTTGCTGACACCTCTGTCGCTGAGGTGTGAACTAAGGGGTTTTACATCACGTTTGCTTCAGGCTAGGTTACTACTGCTCAGCAGAGATGTGATCACTCATTAAACCATGAAACTCAATCCTGCCTCTGAGCTCTAAATTGCCTCTGGTTTCTACAGATTTAAGGTCACACTACAGTGACGTCTGCAGGCGGCCATGAAAGCTAGAAGCAATTGTTGTTATTTTTAATGAAATTTGAGATTTCCAGTTAGGATTCAATGATGAAGGCTTTAGGAAAGCACAAATATTATGAGGTTTGTGATAAAACCATGGGAGCTGGCAGTAACATTGCTGTGAGAGATTTAAAGCATCACTACCTCCTGAATTAGCAGCAGGTAGGGTTTTTACATCCTTTGGCACAGCTGGCATTCATGAGCCTCAAAACCTGAACTCTTTGTGCAGAAGAGTCCAGGAGATGCAACTTTGGAATCAGCCATTGGCTCAGAAAAGCGGGGTTATGAGACATGGGGGAGATGATGGGGGAATAGTCAGTGAGAATTACAGCAGCCACACTGTTGTCCAGCAAATCCTAGGAGGCATTTTCGAGATCATTCAGCATTGGCTTCATTCTCTTTCCAATTCTGAGAGACTTCAATGGGAGGAAAGTTAGGCCAATGCTAAGCACTTTTGAAACTCCCTTTTCTACATCTCCACTAATATAAAGTCTTGGTTTAAATGAATGATTTCTTCTCCTGATTCCCCTGTCAGTGCCATATGTGTTCTGTTGTTAAGCGCGGTGTGACATGGGCAGACCATTAGGTCATCTCCATACTCTGTTCTCTCTCACCCTCTTTGTTAGAAATGGCGCTTGGACACCCTGGTCTTCCTGGGCCCCATGTAGCACCTCCTGCGGGATAGGCTTTCAGGTCCGCCAGCGATCCTGCAGCAACCCTGCTCCACGGTATGGAGGCAGGGTCTGCGTTGGACAGAGCAGGGAAGAAAGGTAAGAGATGTCCGCAATGCTGTGTGTTCACTTCTGTGGTTAAAAGTTGGCAGTTGGAAGTGGTGGCTGTTACGTGAATGCAGATTAAGACTGTTTGGCTGAATGCACAAAGCAGAAGGAATTCAAGAGCCTGGGAGGGATGAGGTTGCTCACATGCATGGCCACTCTCTTTCAATGAGCCTGTGAACATCAGAGATGTCAGAGCTACCTCCACTCTCAGGAAGGACTTTTCAGACCTTGACAAGTATTCCTGTCCCACAGAGAGTCAACCTCTTCAACGAAAGGAGAAGCTGTGCCTGCTATTAACAGTGCAGAGTTTATAGATACAGTTATACTGTTCTGAGCCGTCCCTGAAGAGGCAGTTGAATATGTGCAGCGTTCATTGCCAATTGCACCATTCCTAAGTCTCCGTTATTGTGCTGATGCACCAAAAGAAGTTCAAGACAAAATATAGCTTCAATCACAGGGCTTGGCATTAGAGAAACGTCTTTCTTCCCCTGTAATCTAAACAAATTTTACACAAAATCACTAAAAGACAATACTTTTTGAGCCTACAGAGCCAGATGCTTTATTATGGTTCTTCAAGCCCAGCCTCGCATGAAACACATGCTTCAAGGCATCCCAGTTTGGTTTCCAGACTTGACATTTCATTAAAGGCCACCTCCGCTTGGCAGTAGTCTGTTGCTTGTCTCTTGAGTGGTCACTTAAGACAGATCTCTCTGCGTTTCTCAGAATACAAAGGACAATTCATTTAACTTCCTTGATTCAGGACATTTTAATGTTTGGTTTGATTTGCGGCATTCGCAATGATCCTTTTTGGGTTTTAAAGACTACATCTGAGTCAATTGCAGTCCTGTGTGATTCAATTTGGGAACGATATTGATTAAAAAGCTGAACAAAAGTTACCTTTTGGAAAAGGAACATGAAATAGCATTAATTTAGGGCCTGCTTTTGAGTGCACATAGCATCTAGTTCAGCTCCACTTGCAAACACTAGTTTCTTAGTGTCCAAGTGGCAGTAAGGGCCAGACCGTGGGAAGAGGAGATTGCTGAGTGTTTAACACCTACTGTTAGTGACAGATCACTGTTGAGTTGACCTCCCACTAGTCATCCCATTGAAAGCATTTACCATCCACTGTCTCTGTGACACATGGGTTTCAGTTTATGAGCTCTTCCGTGAATTCAGTGCATAAAAGTTTTGAGATTAGAGCCCTTTCAAAAACCTTTTCTTGACCTTTTACTCTAACTATGTCACTGAGCTCAGCCTGGTTAACCACTCCCTCTTCTGTACAAAGGGTACACTTCTCTGCTGTGAACAGGAATATTGCTAATCTGACTGTTGTGTCAGTCTTCTGCTGGCTTTCTGTGGATGCATGAGTTGCACCCAAATGGAGTGTGCAGTCTTGCGTCCGTTGCCGTTTTGTCTCTCGAATGTGCTGACATGGGTATTTTTTTGAGCAATGCGCTTTCTTCTTTCAGATTTTGTAATGAGAACAGTCCATGTCCGTTACCAATTTTTTGGTCTTCATGGGGTCCTTGGAATAAATGTAGTGTGAACTGTGGTGGAGGGATTCATTCAAGGCAGAGGTCCTGTGAAAATGGAAATACGTGTCCAGGCTGTGCTGTGGTACGTATTGTTGATTGACATTGCATAAGGGGCACCCATTGACATCTGGCAACTAGGAACTTGGTATTTAACTCCTCTCTCCTTCTTGGTTTTATTTCTCAAGCTGGAAGAAAATGCTATCCTCAGCTTTAGCTGCAGAGGATGCTGAAAGGAACTGGGAAGCAGAGAGGCGGCAGATTTCCGAAGTCAGTGTTGGTGTGAGGAGGGGGGAGGTCAGTGTGTGTGTGTACAGGCAGGGACAGACTGGTATACAGAGAGGACTTTCTTAGGCCTCTGTAAGCTTAGGTATCAAGTCCTTTACCTGAAAGCACTATACATTTTTTTTCTTCTGTCCCACTCCCGAGGATGATGCTATTGAGTCAAGGAGGCCCTACACGCATCAGAAATGAGTCTCACTGTCATACCTGAATAAACAACAGGTCAAACACCTGGTTAATCCATCGGTGAGGCAATGGCTACCCATTTTCTCTCTTTATTTTCCTTTTCCTTTTCTGGCAGCTGTTTCATGCAGCTGTTTTAATCAGTTTTGTGGAGAGTTTTCCTTCAGTGTAAGCAGATTTGATCTGGAACCTCCCATATGTTCACAAGCTGTTTGGCATTTACTCTAGAATCATGAAGTTCTGAAGCATTACATTTCTTTCCCTCTGCCAGAAAAGACCAATTTATTTATTTATTTTAAAAAAAGAATGCAGTGTTTGTCACTGGAATTCCTCCCACTAGCGGTGAGAATTGTAAAGATCCCAAATCACCCCACCCAGCCAGAATGTTGTCTGTACGCAATGGATGCTCTACACAGAGGATGGCAAATGGTTCACAGCCTTCACTAGAGAGTTCAAAAAGCCAACCAAACAAAAATAGCTGTAAAAAGAGATAATCTAAACCTATCTTAAAAATAAAACAATAAACTTTTCAAGGAATAAACCTTACTAACATGTTATCCTCATGGGGCTCCTCTAGGCTGACCTGAGAGCAGCATCTCAGGGTCACAGCAGAAAACTGTTTTGCTGTTAATATTATCTATTGCCTGAATTATTCTCCTGCCCATAATGTACCAAGCTTTCAAAGCTCCACATGACTTTGAGTCAGCAAAAACCCACAAACCTGAGAGACATAAAAATAGCAAGCATAGTTCATCCTTGAGGTCCACCTGAAGCTATGCACCACCATTGCCTCCATAGGCACCGCATTTTATGCTGTGCCTAGCACTGGCTTGTGTCTGTGAGGTCAGATAGCGTGGACAGAGGTTGTTTTAGATACAGAGGGTGTCCCCTTATTTTCTGGAGAGTAAATAAATCTCTGTCAGGCTGCTGCTGTTTAAGAAGTAAGGAGAGAGTGGTTTTCCTTCTCGGCAGGAATATAAGACCTGCAACCCAGAGAGCTGCCCGGAGGTGCGCAGGAACACACCCTGGACCCCTTGGATGCCTGTCAACATCACACAGAATGGTGCCCGCCAGGAGCAGCGCTTCCGCTACACGTGTCGTGCCCAGCTTTCTGATCCCCATGAGCTGCAGTTTGGGAGGAAGAAAACTGAGAGTCGATTCTGCCCCAATGATGGCTCAGCAGTGTGTGATACTGACTGTACGTCTTGCCAGCTCTGGGGGACCATTGGGCAAGCTTAGATTTGGTGGTGGAAGGGTGATCCTCTCAGAACAAGAACAACCTGACTGTGTCTGCATAAGTCTCGACATGTACGACTAGTGTCACTGCAGAATGGCAGGGATGGAGAGAGCTCTGTGACTTAGAGTCAAGATAGTTCTGAGCTCTGTGCTTATGGCAGCGTATAGATTTGTTCTGGCTACTGCCAGACAGGCCCAAAGAGAAATGGCAAATAATGAGGGTGTAGAGAAGAAAAGAGCCATTCTACAGGACAGTGTGTCTTTACTCTTCTTTCTCTCTGGAGGTCCCCTTGTGCGCTGCCTCTGGGGTTAATCCCTTCAGTATTGCTGTGATGCAAGGCAATGTCCTGAGGGCACTGCCACAATTTGCTGCCCAGAAAGTTCATTTATCAAGGTTATCAGTAGATTCAGTTTGTGTATGTACAGATTTCTTTTTGTGAACAAAACTCTTGCTAAGGGCTTTCAATAGAAACTCTTCCCCAGAGCACCTAAGTCCTGATTTTATTCATGAGCTGAAGCCCTTTTTAAAAGCCCAACAACTAATTAATTTGTGATCTTGTGGTGTCTTGTTTGTTTTCCTTGAAGCTCTTGTTGATGACCTCCTGAAGACTGGTAAGACCTCTGCACGGATTATCAATGGGGGCTGGTCCTTTTGGGGGGCCTGGTCTTCCTGTTCCAGGGACTGTGAGTTGGGCTTTAGGATCAGGAAGAGAACATGCACAAACCCTGAACCTAAAAATGGTGGCTTGCCCTGCGTGGGGTCAGCAACGGAGTACCAAGACTGCAATCCACATCCCTGCCCAGGTAACCATGATCATCTTCTTGCATGAAATTCAGAGGTGTTCCTCCCCATCTTAATGGTAGAGCCACAAAAAATTTAAAAAATCAGTATTTCCAAGCTGCTTTGGTTTTGTTTTTTTTTTTAATTTGGGGGATTTTTCCTTATTTTTTTTTAAAGCTATTGTAATGACCCATGTATGCGATCTTTAGTGCTATGACTTATGTTTCACCTTGGCTCGAAGGGTAACACAGCCATATCCTCTAGAGGAAGTAGTATCGTGGTATGTCTTTTTGCTTCAAGAAGGTTTGAGGGCATCACAGTGCATCTGCACCTTGATGAGGAGACAGGCTTAATGAATGTGGCTTAATAATGTGTAGAGATGCTTGATGTGGCGGTTCTTCTTGTGAACACTTGTTTCTTCCCCCTCTCCTGCTTACGTATTGTTCTTGCGATGGGCATCTACTCTTGACATCAGTTACCATTTCCTGCACAGCCAGCAGGGAGTATTCTTGCCTGGTTTCCTGGTTTTCGAGTTTGTCCTCATGTTTATGTTGCACTCCTGGTCCAGAATAGTAATAATAGACCATTCACTACTGTATTCTATGTCAGTTATCCTTTTCCTTGCTCTGTAATAACTAAACTAAATTTAAGTGATCTTACACAAATTACCTTGCCTCTGCAGTTCCAGCAATTATCTACCTCTGGCAATATAGTTTGTGGCCTACACTTGAAAATGCTGTATTATAATAGCATTATTATGATTCTAAAATTCAATACAAAGATAAAATTCCAGTGCAGCTATGATCAGAATGTGCAGCAAGAGCATAGCAGGAGTGTCAAATATTGCACTCTATGGCCTATAAAAATAAAATAACTCTAGGACTATAAAGACAGCTATTAGTACTATTTTGGAAGCTCTCAGTGGCTTTTCACTAATGTCTGTGCCCTTCTTCTGTGCTGTTTTCTCCCCTTGGACACTATGATGTTTTACAATCTGTTCTGAGTGCATGATTACTATTTCTCTGTGTCTACCTCCTTCCCTGCCTTACTCAATGTGTATACACAAATCCTGGGCTTACCTTGCACTAAGTCATCAGGTTATTATCTTCTGAATTAATGGCATGTGGACCTGCAAATCAGGCAGCCTAGTAGCCTGACAAGGGGTGGGGGGATCAGATATCTTAAGTCCCTCCCTAGTTTTGTTATTAAGCTGTTATGGGGCTGTGCTGAGATCATAAGGACCTGTAAAGGTCATCTAGTCCAGCCCCCCCCGCAATGAGCAGGGACAATAAATAAAGCCTCTGAGTTTCTTTTTCTTGCAGGTTGGAATTAAAGAACTCAGGGGCCCCACAGAAAGGTGCCATATAAGCTCCACTTAGGTTGTACTTTTTTCCTAAGTTAATCTGCTGTTGCTGTAGATGAAGCATCAGGAGACAATAGAATAATGATAACAATGCTGTTTTATAAAAAGGTATAGAATAGAATAGGATAGAATAGAATAGATTTCAGTGACTGCCAGGAAGAATACTTTCTATTTTGGCACTTTACGATGCAGTGTCTTTTTGTGCATAGACTTCATTCTGCATCTGCAGAGTGCAGCACATTTGTACCCTCTCTTGATATGAAGTTCTTGTTGTCAGGCCCAAATGTCCTGGGGCGCAAGAAACCGCTAGCTAGTCTGGGCAAGGTGGGTCTGGAAGGTGAGATCCTGGGGGTCTTCATCTTTGTCAGAGTGAAAGGGGTGACCAATGGCATCTACCTCTCTCTCCTTGCTTTTCAATGCCCTTCAGTGAAAGGCTCGTGGTCTTGCTGGACTCCTTGGTCTCACTGCTCAGCAACCTGTGGAGGAGGACACTACCAGCGCACGAGGACTTGCACCAATCCAGCTCCATCTAGTGGAGAGGATATCTGCATTGGTCTGCACACCGAGGAGGCCCTTTGCAACACGCACCCATGTGAAGGTAGCCAGTTCTCCTCGCTGCTCCAGTTGGCTTGGGTGGTGGTGGGAGCAAGGCACATCTGCAAAATGTTTAAAAAATAAATCAGAAACACCACCAGTTAGAAGCTTTTCTGTCCATTCAGTAAACATCTGTTGAGCTGGGGAAAACGGAGACATCTCAGTGTTCAGCTGCAATCCCTCACCTTTCTCTTTACCTCTTCACTAGCCCATCCTCTGGCATTCTGGTGCTGGACAGGCAAAATCTCATTAATGGCTGATCCATTCAGGAGCTTGATTCTTCAATGTGGAAGCTTACAAGACAAACAAAAGGAGTCATGAAGCATCAATCTTTACAGTTGCTGAAAGGACAATCCTTCCTTTTTCTTACACAGGCAGATGAGCATGTACTACAACTCAGAGAACAGGGTTTAGATCTGTGCTGGTTTTGAACCACCTTTGTGTATTTCTGATCCAGTGCAGGCTGACTCCTGCACTTAGGAACCTCAGCAAAAGTCTGTAACTGCTCTAACTTGTGCTGGCTGCTTGAGGTATCCCTGGGAGGCCACCCAAAACTTGGGGGTCCTGGTTCAACATTGCCCCATCCAGCTCCTTCAGCTCCTTGTATGTCTAACCAGAGAGCTGATACAGGAGCTTTTAAGACAACTCCATGCTGTGCAGTGCTCCACCAGGGGTTGGTTCAGTCTGTATTAAGAAAACTAAAACCTGGCAATTAGGGTAGGGTATGATGCTTGCACTGTTATTTGTACTGAGAAAATGAAGTCCACTAAAGGCCTCTGGATTAGATGTGTGAGAGAGGCCCAGGCCGGGATCTAGACAGCCTTCACCATGGGAGAAGTTTGGTATCTATAAGGGATTCTTTTCCTTCTTGGTGACACGATATGTGTGTTTTCCTGATCTTGGATTTCAGGTGGCTGGTCAGAGTGGTCAGAGTGGAGCCTGTGTAATGAAGAAGGCATCCAGTACCGCAGCCGTTACTGTGAGGTACACAGCCCAGACTCTTCTCAGTGCATCGGAAACAGCACACAGTACCAAGATTGCCTGTATAATGAAATTCCTGGTATGTACAGTGTCATTGAGGAGGGAGAGGGTGGGCCAATTCAGGACGGCACCTTGTGCCCAGAATGTCAAGCTAGGGTTATAGGGTATAAATTGGGTTTGGATGCTTCTAGAAATACAAGCAAACAAACAAATGTTATAAACTCCCTTGTGGCAGGGACAGGGTAACTGGCATTCCTTTAAGATAGCTTAGCATTTCTTTAAAACAGATTTATCTAGGTCTGTGATAAATAACTATTTTTGCTTCACCTGAATTTAAGCTTTTAACTTTGCACAGTTCGTCTCAGGCTGGGTTATAAAAATTATCTGTGTTCTAAGTATGGACGTGGGCAACAGAAGGTCCTTGAGTTCAGGTGTCAAAAGAAGCATCCCAAAAGAGTGAAGAAATAAGGTGGGGCAGATGGAGAAAATTGGTGTCTGAAGTGGGGAGATTAGTCAAGGGTCTAAGAGAGTAACACTGTGACACTGTTGATGGACAGATGGTCATCAACATCTTCTACCTTGTGTTTTGTGGAAATTGAATCTCAGGCAAATATTTGATATGAGTCTAGACTGAATAACCCTTTTCCACATGTTCCTTTTCGGATTATAGTACCCTGACTTAAAAATCCGAGGTCTGTAGGCAATGATATTCTTTTTCGTGGTTTTCTCAGCTATCTTCTTTCCCCTAAATTGAAGAAGCTAGACAGTGATCAGGTAACAGTACTGGAATTGTCAGGTCTTTGGAGAGGTTTTGTTGCATGTGTTTCACACTCTGAGCTTATCATTCAATTTAGAGAGACTCTCGGCTTGCTGCAGAACACGTGAGCGCCTTCTCGTGTCTGGAGCACAGGGGGTTTAATTACTTAAAGAAGTAAAGTGATGGCAAAATGACAACTTTCTCCAATCTTCTTCTCTTTGTTTAGTGATCCTGCCAGCCTCCAGCATTGATGAGAGCACGAACTGTGGAGGTAGGGTACCACTAACTATATATCTTATTTTTATCTTAACCTGGCTCCTTTTCTCCCTGTGCAGTATCAACTAAACCATTAATCTATACAGCTCATATCCCACTGATAGCCTTAATACCACTGGAGTCTTGCTGTCTGAGTCAGACTGGAAGAATGTATCGCATGTCCACTTGTCAGTTCCAAGATTTTTATTTATTTTGGGGTTTGGGTTGGCCACTGAGGGTCATTAATTACCAGGGAGCACACTGGTTGTCTTTTTCTACCCACAGGGTAAATGGTTCAGGAGAAAGGAAGGAATATTCCTTATTCTACCACTGTAAGCCTCCCGCTGTTTGGAGGCAGGTGTTTTTAAATAACCTGTGAAAATTTCAGTGAACAGAGTCTCTTAGGCAGATCCTTTGCTGATATAGGACAAGATTAGGGTTTATACTTGTCCTTCAAGCACTTCCTTTCATTCAAGTCCTTACCTCTCACAGAAGTTGTGTCTCCTTTCTGCATGTAACTTGGAAAGATCCAGTCATTAGTGTCACTTTTCTACTGCCCTAGGAGCCCCTATGATAAAAATGCAGACTGAAGAAAATGGCAGGTTCCTTCGATATTTCAAAGTGCTAGTTTCACACTAACGACCATGTCAGTTCCTGCTAGCATCACATCCCTGCTTTCCTGAAATCTAGATGATCTGCAGACTGCCAAAATCTCTTCTCCCTGTGGAGATCACGGCAATGGTTCTGTGGAATGGAAATGTGACCTCTTGGTTTGTGACTGTGGGGCAATCAATGGAATTAAGATTTCAGCACCTGCAATGTAACAGTCGGCTTTCTGCGTCACTCCTCCCTCAAAGGGTGCAACTATCTGCTTCAGTTGCAGGACTCCTTGCTACGGCTTGCACTCTACCGTATTGCCCTGTACCTACATTTCCTTCTTTTACTGTCACCTTTGTATCTGCTGCTGTTGCAATCTACATTTTACCGTAGCTAATATTATTTATTCTTTAGCGTTCTACAATATTAGGCAAAGAAGCCAATCAATAGAAATGCTGTTGATGCATCTCAGAAAATCTATATTTTCAAAATGGTGAACCAGAAAGCTTTGCCCCTGGGGACTCACATGCTGCAAACAAAAATAATTTGTTTTTCCCCTAAGATATGGCTAAAAGTCACCTGAAAAATCAGATGGGTCTTTCAAAGGTGAGAATGAAATGTAAGAGAACTTTATGTTTTAGAAAGTTTTTCTTACTGTAGTGACGTGCTAATGTAGCAGTGACATGAAGCATTCACTGCAATATAAGCAAAGCTGGGCAGGAGGAGAATATGGCAGTGTCATGTGGCCTTACTGAGCACAGTTGCATATTCTGTCTTTTAGCTCTCATGAGTGAAGTAAAGCAGGCAGAGGTTTTTAGAAAAGAAATGTCTTTTTGGAAAAGTCTTGTAACATTTAGTAGGAAATTACCATCTTTCCGCTGTTTTTTTGGACCATCATCCAAAACACAATAGAAAGTGGTAATCTTGCAATAGAATTTTATAGTGTGGTTTAAAAAATAAATGTAGCTCATCAGTCTTAATAAATTCTGCATGTTCCTTACTGTAATTATGAATGAAGCACATTGCTGTAGAACTCTATCCGTTTTGTTCTTCTAAACTCAGGAGGATATTTTTTAACTAAAGATTAGAGGAGAGCTGTAGACTAATGGTCAGAATTCTCTGTTTGAAAAGCATATCAGTTAAGATGTAAGATGGCACCAAAAAAAATGCACACCGTGATCAGACTAAGAATGAACCTTATTTAAAGCCACTCTCCAAGTAGTCCCTTCCATTTCTCTGCACGCAGTCAAGTCAACGCAGCAGTCTGTCCAAATGAATTGGTTTCTTAAGTATTACAGGAATTTTACCGCTGCAGTTGCCACAAAGCCGATATGTCTGACCCCTGGGACAGCTGACCTGGGGGGGCAGCAGCACTCAGGGGTGTCCCCCCATCAGGCCCTAGGGCGCCTGTCATTCCTGGGCGAAAGATGACAGAGCAAAGGCAGAGGAAAGGCAGTAACATTTGGAGTCATCATCACTCGTTCTGTTTCTGTAGATTCCCCCCTACACATAGCAAAAGGCGACGGTCATAAAGTTTTGCCACCCAAGATTTCCTCCAGTTGCTTCATTAACTTGGTGGCACTAAAGGTCACTACTGTTGGCTCTGTTGTCAGCGAAGGTCTGTTGATGGTTGGTTTTACCACGGGGTTTGAGACTCTCTGAGGTGAGGGAGGAATGAGGAGTATTGTTTGACTTTGTCTTCCCCCACCAGCCGGAGTTGCGAGTTTGGTACCTCCCGGTGCGTGGGATGCACAACTACAGCTCCTTCCAGAGGTCAGCGCTGTGCTTGGAGGGTGCTGCTGCAATCCCACGTGGAGAGATCTCTGTAGGAGGCTTTTATACACCAAGAGCTTTTCTGTTTAAAATATTTGCACTGTAGCTACCCTGCCAGCACCTGCCTGCAACTGGCTTCCTATCTTTGCAGTTTGTGGAGAAAGCCAACAAAGAAGTGTTTTTTTCAAGCAGTCCCCCCCTTTCCTTTGTCCACCTTATCTTTCCCATTCCCCTGAGGACCTCTGTTTTGCTGTTAGCGGTACAAATACACCTCAGAGGTAGTGCAGGCATGGCCAAGGCAATGCCACCCCGTGAATAAGCAAGAATGCTGAGCACACTTGGATTACACGGGGGAGGAATGTTTATCTCCCCCACTCCACACACAGTCCCATAGGCATTTTGGGCAGCCAACAAAAAGGGCTTTCCCCTCCCTTCCTTCCCCTTCAGAGAAACGCTGAGTGTTTTTATCCCTTATTTCCATGACACGCACATGCTTTGGAATCCATTAATGTGCGTTGTTTGTATGGCTCATTTCTTTAGCTGTCAGCTTAACATAATGTTTAGTTTCAATATCAATAGTGGGGAGAAAGGAGAGACAGGGAGGGAGCTTTGAGAAAACAATGCATGAACCTGCTAAACTGCACAAGGCAGAGCTGCAGTGGGGAGACCGATTTGCAGGGAGATTATGTCAGTTTATGTTAGAACGTAAGACTCTGGCTTCAACAGCTTATTAATGTTGATCCCAAGATGTCATAGCTCTGATTTGCACCTGTGGTCTTGTCGGGAGAGGGAAAAAGGCTATTCTTTAAAAATAGTATCTCTTGTCATTTCTCTTGCAGGTTTTAGTCTCATCCATCTGATTGCCACTGGGGTCTCCTGTTTCTTCGGCTCTAGCCTCTTAACGTTTGTGATTTACGTGTACTGCCAGCGCTGTCAGAGGCAGTCCCAGGAGTCGACCGTTATCCACCCAACCACTCCCAACCATCTCCATTACAAGGGCAACACAACGCCCAAGAACGAGAAGTACACCCCTATGGAGTTCAAGGTAGGGTACTCGATGAGAAATACCACGAACAGCTTGATACTACCTGAACAAGTTCTGTATTTATGTCATGGTTGGAAGTGTATAGGTTTGTGTTTCTATGCCCAGCTGTTGGCATTACATGCGGGGTTTGAAGGAGCATTTAGCCATTCTGTCACAAAGGGGTTAAAAGGTCCCATTGCTGCAATGGGATTTTGTTCTGTTTCACAGTCCTGAGGAATGCCAGTCTGGCAAGTACATACCAAGATACTCCAGCCCATTGTGACTATTGTATGTATACAAATTGTCCTCTAAGAAATCAGTAGGAGCTCAGTTCAGTGCATTGTTAGTGCGTGGTAAGAGGAAATGGAGGGGAGGAAGAATAAAAATGGAAACTTCATTAGACAAATAGCTGGGAAAATGCGTATGGTGGGTAGGGTGAGAGTCTGGAAGTGGTTTGGGAACTGCCAAATTGGACAGAATGAGAAAGAAGAGGGACTTCTGCCTCCTCTATCAGTACTGGACAGAACTTACCCCAGGCAGCCATGTTATCTGTGATAGCAGCAGAACTGGGAGCTGAAGCCTTGGGAGAAGATGAGTGTTGAAATGGTGTACTCTCGTTGGTGTATCTGCTAGCTAAAGGGAGCACCACCCATCATCTGAGCAGATGGGACTAAGGGTACAAGAGACAATACACTGGGACAATAGCACATTGTTGTATTTGAGCATCAGTCTCCGGGTGAAGTGCAAGATCATAGAAGTGAGCAGTGGGATGGGTGAAGGGGCTTCATTTCACCACAGGAGGAACAGCTTGCCTCGGGTCACTTGAATAGTTTGGAGCATTATCTGGGACATGAACACAAAGCAGAAGGAAACCTTGCAGCTGCTTGTTCCTTTGTATAGCTATGTGCTGCTGACATTTTGATTGTCTGTTTCTGCTGATCTGGCCTGGCTTCTAACTGAGACCCAACAATAAGCTCAACGGTGGAACCATTGCCATACTGTAAACGCCCTGGGTGCTGGGGACAGTTTCCACATAGAGATTTTATAATGCTGGGCACAGGATGATTCCTGATAGGTGGCCATGATTTGCAGTGTGAATATGCATCAGAACTAAGAGCTTGCATCTAATAATTTAAAAAGAGTCAACGTCATTTTGGTGTTTTAAAGGAAAACAGTTTGAGCTGGAAAACAGTAGACCAGTTTGGCAAGATGCATGTACTGAATTTCTTGTGTTGGGCATTGCAGGCCCACAGAGGATCCTACTGCCTATAAGTGCAGTCTCAAAAATACATTTCCTAGCAGCATAAGGCTACAGTTGCATACAGTTTAATAAGGGTGCAGCATCGTAATGTGAGTCAGCATGGATTTGTGGGAAGTAAATCATGTCAAGCAAATTGGATTCCTTTTTTAAATTAAATAAATATTGATCTAGATAGGAGGGAAGCAGCAGACATATTGGGATTTTCAGAGGCTTTTAACAAAGTTTCACAGGATGTATTATTCTACACACTCTGCATATATGGGTTGGGTAATAAATTATTAAGGCAGGTAAAGAACCAGGACGTGATCCTGGAAGCTTCAAACTATGAGAGTAATCCTCTCAGTTGTGTCAGTAGTTGTCGCAAAGTCAATAGGAAGACCCAGATGAGAAAAGCTTCCAGGAATAAACAGGTTAGCAAGAATATCCCCTTGTTCCTTACACAGCAAACAATGAAGAAAAGAGACAAATTTATTTTTGTGGCCAAAAGCAGGTAGTTACAGGGTTGACTTTATGGTATCATTTTCTTCATGTCTTATATTGTGCTATCATATGTTATCAGATGATGCTAAAATCGGAAGAATGGTTAAAACTTAGTAGGATGAAGTTGTTCACAAAACGATCTTGATCAATTGATCAATTGAGTAAATGGATTATGAAATACAGTATATCTGTGCCGAGTGGTGTAGTGGAGTAGAAGTAATAAGAAAGCTAAGCAAAGTTTAAAATAGCAGCAGATCAGTTAATGCAGCATCAGGAGGGAGTTGACCTCTTTGATGGATCCATCTCTGAATACTTATCTAGTGTGTAGTAACAGTGAGCAGCTGTTAGTCTTTTTTCAAGGGATGTAAACAGCCTAGGCATTAGATCAAGTTTTGAAAAGTCTAGTTTATTTAAAGGAAGGCATTAGCTAACTGGGACTGTATGAGTTAGGCTGAGGGGAGAAGGGACTTGGACACAAGGAGAGATAAACCAGATGGGGCTTATTTATAGAATGTTAGGAAGTGAAAGAGTTCAAGTGAATAAATCTGCAGTCATGGGACAGACGAAAACAAAATGTTTAGGAGCAAGGGGCTGCTTGTGAAGAAGAGCTCAAAGTCATACCCTTTCAGTGTGGTGAAAGAGGCAAAGAGATTACAGAAAGGGCAAAATCCGTTTATCAAGCGAAGCCCCTTTTCTCTATTCCTGTTGAATATTTCCTTATGTTTATCTTCTCTATTGTCCTTCCTTTCTTAAACTCTTGCCTGAAAATGTCTCATTTAATACTACAAATTTGCCACTCCTCAGTGTTCCCTTGAAGAACATAGCGTTAGTGCACTAAGAGGAAGGCTGTGTGTGCTCTGTGCTGTGTAATTACTTGCAGAACTTGTTATTAGCCAGCTTTATATATAGGAATAACTGGCGGATTTTTCTAAGGGTCAGGAGGGAGTTTTTCATGCCTTCAAGGAGCACATGTGGTTTTATTGTGATGCTGCACAGTTAACAGTCAAATGACAGAGAAGCTAAAATTCACCTTCAGAAAAACGAGGGTTGGACTGAGCTTGGATACGGGCCCATCTGAATTTCAAATGTGTATGTATGAAAGAAAGTGGAAACACCTGAAATTCCAGATTCTAAACCCAATTAAGTTTCTATCCAGCAGATGCCAAGAAAACTACCCCCAACTTTTCTTAGGTAAAGCAAAAGAATCATTGTATGTTCATGTGTGTCTGTGAAAGAGGTAATAAATCCATGATTAAGGAAATACATGATGTGTGGACTACTTTTCAGTAGCAGAAAATGATAATACACAGTGACATGATGGTAGCAGAAGGCTGAGCATATGCACAAGTCTATTATTTTCAATTCTTTGATAATAATAAGCCTTCTGCAACCGTCTTTAGTTTGTTTTCATCTGGAAATATCTCTTCTCTCCAACCAGCAGGTGAACACAGTAGAAAATTTGGTAGTGTTACATTCAAATGTACAGCACTGAATGCAAACTCATAAATCAAGGTGAATTTTATATGAAGGCAGATTTTAATGAAGGAAGTGCTAGCTGATATGAGCCTTGTTGGACACTTCAGCAGAGCAATGCAGTAATGTAGATCAGATGTAAATATCATACATAATGGTGACCTATTGATTGTTTAGCTGATGCTAACTTGCCTAGGCAGTGTTTTGCCGAGGAGTCTTTTATTTTTGCTGGCTTCTTTTCCCTTCCTTTTTTGCTTTCTCAAGAATGCTGTGAGGTTTATTATTAGCTGGTTTAGCCATGATGTCTTAAAAGATTTCATGCATATGCATTTACCAGCTCCACGCTGATTTTGATTTGTTATTCACAGATTGCAGGGGAGAGACCTTTTGGGTCACCTAATAAGCAGTTCATGTTTCATTAATTGGTTAAAGTTCATACAGTACTCTGACAATATTGAAGACTGTGCAGAACAAGAGCATAATGAAATAAAAATTATCTGCTCTTCACATTTTGGCATGATGGGTTACAGAACCACCTACAACCTTCCCAGTACTGCCACGCCAATTAGTTAATAGCTGGCTATCAAAGCAGAGAGGAGATCCTGTTTTTTAACATCTTGCTTCAGCTACTCAGTGACGTACTCCTGTGAGTAACTTATTAGAGTTGTGCTGATGGAAAGCCTGATGATCCTACAGTAGAAGCCAGAGAGATGTAGGGTCAAGGTTGAGCCCTTGTGAGTTAGGAGCTCTTGGAACAGCCACACGTGGAGAAGGGGTTTGGACTGAACTTCTTCCTATTGCTAAATCCTCTGCCAATAAAGAGAGCCAACATTTTATTCTACATGGGATTTGGATGAAGGCGTCTGCATATTGGTCCAAGTCCAAAATCTGATGGCCTTTGGATCAGGCCAGATGGGATTAGTGAGAAATGTAAGTTTGCAGGATGGTTATGATGATGATTCTGCAGATTTTCTTCTTGATTGTGCTGGACAGACCTCCCTCTGTCCTTCCTTCCTTAAACACAGCTTTAGTTATGAGTCACACAGTCAAACTCTTTCTGTACTTATGTCTCAGATAAGCTGAGGAAGCACCTGAGTATTACATCTGCTCTGGGCATCACTGCTGCTCTTTTAGAAGCTAAGGGCCAAACACTGAAGTTGTGCTCAAGCAAAACAGTCATTTATGTCAATGAGCAAATTTATTGTGGGGGAAGATGAGGTGAGAAATGGGTGAGATTGCAGGATATGGCAATGAAAGAGGGAAACTAAATATTTGATGTATCACCTGATACCTGAGGTTCCTAGGAGGACATCAGAACAATACCCATTAACTTCAGTAGGACTGTGAGTCCTGCACTTGCCCAAAATCATACAGCAAATACAAATGCAGCTACCAGAAAATGGGGGGAATATTCAGTAGATCACCTGGGACTCTGTATAAATTAGAAGCTACAATGAATATTTTTTAATAAAATGAGAACAACGCTGTTGAGAATCAAATAACAGTGCAGAGCAGACACCCCCTATGAAGGTGTCCAGGCACTGTGATCCACACTTTACTAATCCCAAATAATTTATGGCAATATAATACCAGCATGAGCGTTATGAAACAAAAATGAATTCTGTCTTTGGAAGAAGAATCCTTCTGAATAAAACATGGGTGTTTGGTGTGGCTTTCAACACTGCAAAAAGAAATAAAGCTCAGGGTATAGGAAAGTGGATCCTTGTGTAGATTCTAAATGTCTCTCTCTTGGTGAGGGTCATTGTAATTGCCACTGAAAATCACGCCTTTTTTATAGCAGGGAGAC